ACCTCTGGCCTTGAGGTGGATCAGATGGGTGAAGGTGGGCTCTTATTTACAATTACGAGAATGCGACGAACGCTTGACGACAAGTTATGAATGCGCAATGATGCCAAGCTCTGGCTCTCCACCCTTGGTGCGGCCGGCAGAAACTTGGAGCTGGACTTCAAGTCGATGCAACTAGCCAACATTGACAACCTTCGCCAATGGCTGCAAGGAAAGGGTAAGCCACTCCACAACCGGACTGCCCTCTTCATTCCCAGCGGTGAAGATTACGACCTTTTTTACGACAAGGCTCTGCGTGCCGGGTGCACATTCTCCATCCACCCTGCCTTCAACACCTCGGTCGACGCATCTGTGCTGCCTCTCCAGTCGACGACATGACCCACCCCTTCAACGCCACCCCCGACGTTGTAACAATTTCTGGCCTCCTCAACTGGCCGGTTCCAGTCATCACCGCTCTTTCCCTCTCTGTCCCAATCGGACATGTTGCAACACGACAGGAACACCAGGAAGTCATTGCCAGGATGTTTGCTGTTGCGGTGCACATGATCCTCTCCACCACTCCTTTGGATCTCGACAACCCTCGCCTCGCACTGACAACACAACTCTGCGCTGTCCTTGATGGACCCGGCACTACGACTATTAATGGCAGGTCGTATTTATTCTACAAAGACGAGAACATGCTCTTTAATGCCAGTCAAGATGTTGCCGTCACATATCAACCCCCGGCAGAGGAAGCGCCATCGCTCCTCTTAAAGGGCCGTGGCGGCCAACACTTTTCTTTTCCTTTGAAGAGCGAGCTTGCTGGCGAGCTCATCACTGGCCATGTACAGTTTCAAGTCTGCATTCGACAGCAAGGCGTATTTATGCCTGGCACGGCACAAGTCCACGAGCTGGACTCTCTCTTCATCGTCGCATTCCGCGAAACTAATCCCCGCCTTGGCAATCCAAATGCTGCGCAGGAAATTGGATCGATCGCCTTTATCAACCTGCCGCAAGACGATCTGGCCAACCCTCTATTTATGATGTGGAAGCGAGGCAGCTTGGACAATAATGCGGGACTGGCGCTTGCTCACTGGAGCGCCCTCGCAGAGCGCCTATGGACTTTGTCGGACAATGTTGCCCAATTCTTTCCTGGTGTTCTGCGAGTCTACCCAGGGACACACACCGCGCAAGGGGTCAAGGGATTTGGTGCGTCGCTGTGCTGCCCACAAGTGTCGCATGCTGTCATGACCTTGGCAGAGCGCGCCAAGATTGTCAATACGCGCATGCCAGAGCAGGTCTCTCGTTACAACCCCTCTGCGCATGTGCCGAAAATCTTTCAACCATCCTGGAGGCTGCCTGCGCCGCTTGCAAGTCGACTTGGACAAGAGTATCATCACCTTCAGCAGAATACCAACGTCCCTATCCACATTCTCTTGCGCGCTGATGGTATGCTCTCTGTTGTTGGCCAGCTTGCGAGCGGCAAGGCATGCCTGCCAAAGCAGCCCTTTGCACCGGTCAAGACGTCGGGCAACACTCGCAGGCTGATTGATGCGGAATACAAGGAGCTGTTTTGCTTTTCCATCTTTCACATTGTCAGCATTGTCCTGCTGGATGCTGCTGCGACGGGCAATGAGCAAATCTTTTTGCTCTATGCTCAGTTGCAATTGTATGTCAGCAAGGCCGAGGATGCATTCATCGAGCAACTCTGGAACGTTGCGCACGGTCTGGCCAGAGATGCGGAGACGGCCGCCTACTGGTTCAATCAACGGCAGCTGTCCAACAGTAGTGACTGCCAGTGGACTGTTCCAGAAGCGCAGAGCATAACTGGGCAGCACATTAAAGGCCTGGGCCCAGCTTGCAAAGGTTGAATGGTCACTGCTATGGCAGCAAGCATCAGTCCAAAGATGAAGTACTTGCTCCATTGAGACTTGCTGGCAAGCTTCAGGCGCTTGTTCTCTGATGCAAGCACCTCTACCTTCTCCTCCAGCTCTTGACACTTGATTTGAACCTCCTTTTGGAGGTGCTCCTGGTCAGCCTTGTGCTGAGCCAATGCAGCCTGGATCAACTTGTTTACCTGAGTCTCCGTCAGCAGGTTCTTCTCAGACTTGAGGACCTGAATGCGGTCCTCAAGAGAGATTTGGTCATTGCTGACCGTGCTCTTGTGGACAATGAAGTCGACTCCTTTGCATTGGCGTAAGCGCAGACGCCAAAGAGAGCGACCACTCTTAAGGCGCAGATTACGGGCAACACCCAGCTGCTCATGGGCCTGCCTTTTGTGGTCTTTTTGGCGGCCACCTAGAGAGCTGAGCAGCAAGATTCCATGTCAGTGACAGCTGCACCAGCGGTGCTGACCTTGTTGGTGATTGTGGCTTGGAGGGTGTCAACCTCAGCAACAAGGTAGGGTGTTCTCTGCCTGGTTGACGCACTCGCAAAGCGCAGCATTCTGTCCACTCAATGCGTCAAGACAAGCTACAACAGCATGGACAGTTGCCAAATCCGTAGCGCGCTGTGCCTTGATGGCTGCTCAACCAGCTTCAAGCTTGGCAATGCGCTCACAGAGCGCAGGGACCTCTGCCGCTCTCTGCTCTGTCGTGGTGAGGCAATCTTGAAGTCGATTGACCTCTTTGCCTGCCAAGAGATTGCTCTTGTAGAGCTTTGCGAGCTCCTCGATTGAGGTCTTGACCTTGGAAACTTCCTTGACCAGGGTGTCCACAGATTGCCTCTCGTCAATTAAGTTTCTGCAATTGAATTGCTCCAAAGTGCAAAGCGTGCCAATAGTGGCTTCAAACTCCACAATTTGCTGTCTGGACCTCCTTGAGACGCTCCTTGTATGAAGTTGAGAGGCTTTGTACGCCACCCATGACCGCGGACATGTTGTCTGGGGCGTCTTGGTGGATGCGAGCAAAAGTGATTGCATTTGCCGACTTCTGTTGTGCAAAGGCAAGGTACTGCTTGGCAACATCAGCTTGGAGCAAGCGGACTGTGCAATTGCTCTTGTTTTGATTCTTGATTGGCACAGCTCCTGACGTGAACATGTGCTTGTTGGTCTTGGTGGTGCTCACAGAGCCGGCGCTGGAGGTGGTGGAACCATCGCAGCTGTAGGTGTCAAAATTTGTCAACTGTCAACAAGAACAGGTCGCTGATGATTTCAGAGCTTGATGTCGAAATGGTACCCTGCTTGATTGACAGTGAAGAAGGGGTGAGCGGTGAGCGGTGCGGCAGCGGGGGTACGTCAAGCGAGTGAAGAGGTGACGGGAAATGTGTGGGTAGAATTGACCAGCTTTTGACCAAAGACCAGAGGCGCAGAAAGGAGTCTGGTGGGCTACGCATCGAGCATGAGAGAAACGTTCCATCAGAACATTTTGCATCTCGTCTCGTCCATAAAGGCAGCATAAGCATGAGCACAAACATGTTGGCAAGCAAGCACACACACACACACACACATACCAACACAAGCAAATTCCTCGCTCACATCGCATGATACAATCCGGCTTCATTTCAGCAAGGCCAGCTTTGCGCAACTTCGAAACAGGGTGCTCAAAGCTGCGCAAGAGGCTTTACAGTACGGCTGCGCTTCGCAGCTACACGCGCAAATCGTCGTCGATGCATGGAGGAGTGGTCTCCAACAGATCATCCGCACGCCGCTAGATCTTCGGGTTCTTGTGAACTTCGGAGCCTTGAAGAAGAGGGTGCTGAAAAGTGGCTGGTTCATGAGGCGGATGATGTGGTACAGCAATGAACAAAGAGTCAGAGGGTGCGAGTCTCGAGAGACAAGAGAGAGAGTGTGTGTGTGATGTAGCCGAGGACTAAATTCGTGATGAGGAGCTGAGCGCGTGCAATGTGTGACGTGAGGGGTCGACATAGCCTGGAGCAGATCATTCTAATGTTGGGACGTGTCAGCGCTTATCAGCGCTTGGTTTCAGATAGA